GGGACCATCACTGGCTCTGGGGTTCACAGCGAATGGCCCCGAGTGTTTGTTCCACTCAGTTTTTATTGAAAGCTATTATCTCTTTTAGCCCAGAGGGTAAGCTGAGGAAGGGACCATAAACATCAGCAGTTTCTCTGAGTAAGCGTGTCAGCTCTTATTCTGTCTCTAATCATTAACGTGAAGAGTCTGGGCAGCCTTGAGAAATGTGAAACCTGAGCCTTGTGTGGGGGCAGCCTCCTGTCTGTGGCCACACACACGATTCCTGCAGAAGCTGATCCTCACCCATTCAGTGTGGAGCAGACGCCAGGTGTCAGTCTCCTCGGAGGAATCAGTGGAACAGAAGACGTCTCTGATCTCCACCCAGAGGCATCTTCCTCTGTAGTAAGGGGGTACACAAGACCTCCTACCGGCATTTCAGGGCTCAGGCTGCTCCCTTGATCTCTGCCCTGGCCACATACAAATCCCACAATGGGTATTTGCTCTGACTGTTGACTGGGCAGGAAATGGCCTGCTTAGTTTATCTCCAGGCCTTATAGCTTCCTCTGCAGCCATGATTTCTGTAGAGCGTTCACTGATGCACCGGGGTGTTTGCAAGCTGTGTCCCCCACAGACCAGCTTCTAGGAAAAGCAGGAACTTCTCAGATAAGAAATTTAGCAGCTGGTTTAAAAGTAAACTAGCTAAACTGTTTTTATTCTGCCTTCCTCAGCTTATTTCTCTGTTTCCCCCTTTTTGGGGGGTGTTTCCCCTTGCCAAGAATGGGGTCTTCAGTCCCCGTTCTGCCTACAGTTAGTCTATTAAAGAAATAATGAGGCTGGACACCATGAATGGCTGACACCTGTAATCCCAGCACTCTGGGAGGCTGAGGCAGGAGGATCCTTTGAGCTCAGGAGTTTGAAACCAGCCTAAGCAAGATCAAGACTCTCTACTAGGCTAAGTGCAGTGGCTCATTTCAAGGTGAATGAGCCTTCCCATTACAGGCTCATGCCTATAATCCCAGCACTCTGGGAGCTAAGGTGGGTGGATTGCCTGAGCTCACAAGTTTGAGACCAGCCTGAACCAAGTGAGCCCTCCTCTCTAAAAATAGCCGGGCATTGTGGCGGGCACCTATAGTCCCAGCTACTTGGGAGGCTGAGGCAAGATAATCACTTGAGCCCAAGAGTTTGAGATTACTGTGAGCTGTGTTGCCATGGCACTCTACCAAAGGTGACAAAGTGTGAGACTCTATCTTAGAAAAAAAAAAAGATTCTCTACTAAAAATAGAAAAACTAGCTGGGTGTTGTGGTAGTCAGCTGTAGTCCCAGCTACTTGGGAGGCTGAGATAGGAGGATTGCTTAATCCTAGGAGTTTGAGGTTGAAGTGAGCTATGATGACCCCACAGCACTCTACGAGGATGACAGAGTGAGACTCTGTCTCCAAATGAATAATAATGAGGCTTGACATTTGTTAAGGGAACTCACATTTAGTGAATGCCAAGTGTGTGCACAATATACTAAAGTGTCACCTCATTCCTCATATTCCTATGAGGATAGTCGCCACCATGTTACACAAAAAGAAGTGATTCAGAAAGGCTGAAAAATTGTTCATGATCTTAAGGCTGGAAGCCAGATTCATACTTAAAAAGAACTTCATGCTTTTCATTATATCATGCAGCCTTTATTGGGAACTGATAACATAAGTTGCTTTTTACTATTCTTTTTCTAAACCTGAGGTCAAGTCTTAAATGAAGTTGTGCATCATAATGCAATTTTTTTCTGTGAGAAGATTAATTATAAATTCATCCCATGCTTATTTTTAATACCCAGAATTGACTGGATTAGCTTCCAT